GACGGAGTCGCAAACGGAATCGGAAGAAATGGAAACGTTCTGATTCTTCCGACTCCGATTCCGTCGAGCTCATGACTCCACTTACGACTCCGATTTTCGATTTTCACTAGGTCGTAAGCTCTCTTACCACTCCGACTGCGATTCCGACTACGACTCCGTTGCTGGTGAAAACCAGCCTTAAGCATGGCCATCTTACAGTGAAATGGTTTCTTTTTATTTCGTACAAACAAAATCAATTGAATTGAAATAAATAATTTCAAGAAACTAAACTTCCCGGGAAACATACTGAATTTTGTTCCAGAAATATTGTTCTCGTGCTCAATCTCTGATGTGCTAAACATCGAGTTTCGAGTAGCCACTCTTTGAGCTCGTCACGCAATCTTCCTTCCCCACGTTAAACTGACATTGAGAAAATAAATAGTGGATAGCGGGTAAGCTTGAGTAGTCTAACAGTGTGGGATTGTGTGACTGAATCACAAATGTAGAAATCCAATTGTTACTGTGATAGTAAAGCTGGGCAAAACTTTGAATTCCAAATGTCGAATCAATGGAGATTTAAAACACGTAGACCGCCCACTACCACCGATTTGAAGTAGATATTGACCTGTTGACTAACCTACGAAGTCTACAAAGAGTTCAATAGCGGGCAATTTCGACAGGACGATTTTACGTCTCTGGCTACATGTTTCTCTAACCATGCTAACCATAATTCAGTGATTGTGTGGAAAATTGTATTGATTGTACATCATATCATGATATGGCAGATTGTAAGGCAAATGCATCGCATTTTAACATCTACTAAATGCTTTTGCCTCATCGTATAGAAATCAGCCTCTTAAAGATCTCGCATATGGTACATAAACAAATGATAGATGGTTAATGGTTTGTATAAACTCTAAATTACCTTTGATTTGAGTTAAGACGGCTTTCCAACACACCGTGAGCAGTTGGATAACCATTTCTCGTGTTGTAGATGACGGCGGTCCGATGTAGAAAAGGAGCAAGTTGACGCCAGTTTTTTATCATCATTCCGCCTTGGTACTGTTAGTTTTTGGAGCACCTTTCACCTTCGAAAAAGAAAGTTCTCCCTTGATGCGAACACCAAAACCTGAAGAAATTAACATACGGTATCATGCAATGGCGCGTGACCCGATCAGAGGCGGATGTCACGCAGGCTTTGCTTGTTTTGCACCAGTTTTGACCAGTTTTACGTGTTTATAACGAAAAAAGGAACTTGGCCAGTATCCATCCATCTTGACCCACTTATTCAGTTCTTGAGGTAAATCCGAGCTGTGTCCATAAAAACGGTCATCTGGTCATAACGCCATGTATTTTTAAGCGAGACGTAGTCAGAGCTTATATGTTGGCACGCATCGCATTCTTTTGGACGGGCGGGCAGCGTAGAGCTTTTGTCGCGCTGCGCTTATGTCGCGCACGATTCGCCGTTCTGTGGAAGGGAAATACAGTCTGGGAGGTAGTAAATAAGCACTGTGTGAGCATTGTATGAGCACTGAAATATCTGAACTGAACTTATGTGTGTGAGAGACGCGATAGGTCAAGGTTCTACATTAAATTTACGTATTGGTGAGCTTTGTTTAGGGCTGAACTAACATATTTGTGGGCTGAAATATTTGTGAAATTGAACTAGAATTGAAGTTGAGATAGCAGAAAGCAATGGAGAATAAATAGTGTACATAACGAAAAGGTGAGCTAGCTGAAGTTTTTTTCTTGATCAGAATTGGTTAATCTAGCTTGGATTATGGGCATGTACTAAAACCCGAAACAACGAAACGAAACGACCAAAACTAAACCCCCGAAACGAGCGAAACGAGCGAAACGAAACCACCGAAACGAGCGAAACGAACACAACGAAACGAGCGAAACGACCGAAACGAGTAAAATAATAAGTAAATAAATGAATAAGTTAA